AACCATGGTATGTCAGAGGGGGGACAACAGGTTCTGCCCTACAAGACAAGAAAAGGTCACACCGTGATGGAACCGTTAGATTTAGACCTTCACTCAGGAACCATGGTATGTCAGAGGGGGTACAACAGGTTCTGCCCTTCTGGCAGCACACTCAACAAAGCAAAGATTGAAACCTAGGTTCATGTCAAAATATCACCCATACACCATGCTGAGAGTTGTTTAAGTCATACCGTTTCACCAGATACTTGAACCCTTTGGACGTTGTAAGAATAAAACACGTCACTATTTAAATACTTTTGGAATGCTGTGCAAATATGTACTTTTTGTATCCCCAAGAGGTATTATTTTCAACATTTCTCGAACATTTGGACTCGATAGTACAGAAAACAAGGAACGTTGTTCTACAAGATTGCGGGATACCGTCTTATCTTTTCTTCACATGGTCCCTTCCATAGCCTTTGCACATAGTTCTAATATTACAGATAATGCAAGCTTGTTTGGAAGTAGGAATCTATTTGCGTTGGGCTACCGCTTCAAGTGCTATCAATCTTAATAACATGAGGTTTGATGCGTGTTGCTTTGGGCGATCTTACTTCTAGGAATATATTCAGTGCTCTGACAACATATATAAATACACAGTTTCTGGACGTAGATGTTAGCTCACATGACAAACAAAGTTCCAGTTGAAACTTTATGTACTAGGTTACCATCAATATCTTTTATGTCAAACCTATGCATAATATTTGATCCCTAGACTGTATGATAAAAGGGGTGGACTGGGCTGGCATCGTTTAGGTTGACATAATAGTGACGATGATCTGGTTGACCCTGCCAGTAATTATATGCTTGTCTCAAAGATTAAGCCATGCATGTCTTAATACAAGTGTCTATCATGACAACATATATTTAAGTATTTGGTCTCAATTAATTCACTATAACATGCCACTGTATATTCCAAGTCGCCAATAGTAATTCGCACTGATAATTATTATTGGTTTATGAATACCGTACTCTCGCTTTTAAGTTTCACCAAAGGGATAGATCACCTCGGCTTGACTCGCACATTAAGCTGACACTTGATATAACGTTAAATCTGTTCTGCTTTAACGCATTCAGTCACTTTATTGGTATAATCGCATCCTCATAGAGGAGTGCCATGAACTCACTCACTCACTCATTTACTTAATATGCTAATAAAAGCGCCAAAATGCTTTCCATAATCATAATAATAAAATATATGTCAATAATGATACAAAATCTCTAATGAGTCCACTGCAGGATTCCGGCTATATCATTAGCATGGATTTATGAATCACAATCAAGTCGGGATGATACTGGGTGGTTGTGACGTGGTACTGCTGTACCTCGACATGATACTGATCCTGGGCACATGTACAGATGGGTACCCGGTAGATGGGGGATATGAAAATAATGAAAAGCTACAAGGCATATAGAAACAGGTCTCCGAGGTGCACTCGTACGTTCAACTACCCCCTCGTGCATGACTACAACAACTACCCCCTCGTGCATGACTACGACAACTACCCCCTCGTGCATGACTACAACAACTACCCCCTCGTGCATGACTACGACAACTACCCCCTCGTGCATGACTACAAGTAACTTCGAGACACGAGTTAGCGAGAAGACGTGTGTGTACAGTTTTCACGCTGTCGGCAGCATCACTACGACAACTACCCCCCCCCCCCGTGCATGACTAAAAGTAACTTCGAGACACGAGTTAGCGAGAAGACGTGTGTACAGTTTTCACGCTGTCAGCGGCATCACTGCGACAACTACCCCCTCGTGCATGACTAAAAGTAACTTCGAGACACGAGTTAGCGAGAAGACGTGTGTACAGTTTTCACGCTGTCGGCAGCATCACTACGACAATGTCACGCTTCGGTGAACGTTGATTATTGGTGAGACATTCTTGTACCAGAGATGCTTGCTTGTAGGGGAACAGGTGCCTGCTGAAATGGTTTAATGTTTCAGCATTTGTATTTTTAGCACGGAGGTAGTGTTCAGTGTTTGGGGATACCATTGTACGTGCAGATATTATTGTATTTTAAGACTGAACCGTTCTCAAACGAGAGAATGACTTTGTTTGTTTGCCGGAATGACAAACTAATTAATATGGAAATTTAATTGTATATTTCTTAGTTTATCTCAATGTTATCAAATAGACGTAGAACAAAAAATATTGACTGTATGTATTGTTGTACTGGCAACATATGTCGATTTTCAACAATAAACAGCGTTAACGACATAACTATAACAGCCTCCGTGGCCTAGTGGATAGAGCTCAACCCGGAGAGGAGAAGGTCGTTGTTCAAACCCCAGCCGCGTCATATCAAAATATGTTAAAATATGGTTCTTGTTGTTACCCTACCTGGTGCTCGGCAAACAAGGACTGGTCAGCTCGGAGTCAGTATACTGTGTCTGTGTGGGGTATTTATGTTAAACTGCGGCATGGTATCTCAGTGGGTAGCACTATCAAACCGGCATTAGTCCGGACTAGTACAAGCACGCACGCACGGTCGCACACACACGCGAATAAACGCAAGCCACACAGACACACACACTCACACAAACAAACACACACGTATATAAGTGCAGTAATCTTGAACCCAACATTTTTTCACCTCACACTACAACATAGTGCTGAATGGAAGAAAAGGCTTATTATCGAACTAGCATTGCGTACACCAGTTGTCGACGGCTCATTTACCCAAATGGAAAGTAATCAGATATCATGCACAGAATAGTTTAGGAAACTCCAGGAACATAAACAAAGGAGGCAGTGTTACTGCATATAATCCCACCAGCGTCGCGCAGGAATATGCTTTTCGTTATGTTGTCTTAAAAGGCATTTGTTCCTCCGCCATACTATTGAGTTCCTATATAAATGCATCAATTAGCGATGCCATCTTCATTGTCGGTACATGTCGTGTTTTCCCTGGCGCAGTAATTTGTTGTGACAGTCAGTCCGCGCTTCTGCACGAGTTATGCAGGATATGCTAAACAATTTGCCCGATTCAGTTCCGCAGTAAATCCCATGATCTTCCGGTATAGTCCCGCAGCAAGAACAACACATGTTAATGCTGAAGAGCTTTGTTTGACACGGAACGCGGGAAGTAAGTACTTTCTTAGGTTCTTAGGAGAGGCTGCAAGTGGTACGGAAGACTGTTTGGTCATATGTTCCAATTACTTTTGACATTACAAAATAAAGACAGAATCCGAGTCTCGTAAAGCTTTCTTTATTTGACGTATCCAATTGGCTTTACAATGCTTTTGGATTGATTGCATAATAACAGGCAGCCAGTCCATCACAAGACCTACATTATTTAAAAATAAGTTGATTTCACTGACAAACAGGGGTGTATTTAAATCCTGCGTAGTGTCCTCCTTGCACTGAATATATCGGCTAATGTTTTTTATCTTCAGTTTGACGTTAATAAGATGAGAATAGGACAACGTATTGACTTTATCTCACGTTTCACATTTCACAGGCATCTGTAATTACATAAATATCTATTTTATCATTTTTGTGTGTCGACGTTTGGCATATGAATGTTAGTATGGCATGGCATGATTCATATATTCCAGGTTACATCCACAAATTGTTTTGCCTATTGATTTTATTGTTTATTTCAAATGACAGGACATTCACCCCAATCCCTCACTCATAGATATGAGGGACGGTGCGCTGGCCTTGAGGGACATTCACCCCAATCCCTCACTCATAGATATGAGGGACGTGCGCTGGCCTTGAGGGACATTCACCCCAATCCCTCACGCATAGATATGAGGGACGGTGCGCTGGCCTTGAGGGACATTCACCCCAATCCCTCACTCATAGATATGAGGGACGGTGCGCTGGCCTTGAGGGACATTCACCCCAATCCCTCACTCATAGATATGAGGGACGGTGCGCTGGCCTTGAGGGACATTCACCCCAATCCCTCACTCATAGATATGAGGGACGTTGCGCTGGCCTTGAGGGACATTCACCCCAATCCCTCACTCATAGATATGAGGGACGGTGCGCTGGCCTTGAGGGACATTCACCCCAATCCCTCACTCATAGATATGAGGGACGGTGAGCTGGCCTTGAGGGACATTCACCCCAATCCCTCACTCATAGATATGAGGGACGGTGCGCTGGCCTTGAGGGACATTCACCCCAATCCCTCACTCATAGATATGAGGGACGGTGAGCTGGCCTTGAGGGACATTCACCCCAATCCCTCACTCATAGATATGAGGGACGGTGCGCTGGCCTTGAGGGACATTCACCCCAATCCCTCACTCATAGATATGAGGGACGGTGGGCTGGCCTTGAGGGACATTCACCCCAATCCCTCACTCATAGATATGAGGGACGGTGGGCTGGCCTTGAGGGACATTCACCCCAATCCCTCACTCATAGATATGAGGGACGTTGCGCTGGCCTTGAGGGACATTCACCCCAATCCCTCACTCATAGATATGAGGGACGTTGCGCTGGCCTTGAGGGACATTCACCCCAATCCCTCACTCGTAGATATGAGGGACGGTGCGCTGGCCTTGAGGGACATTCACCCCAATCCCTCACTCGTAGATATGAGGGACGGTGCGCTGGCCTTGAGGGACATTCACCCCAATCCCTCACTCGTAGATATGAGGGACGGTGAGCTGACCTTGAGGGACAGAGTGTTCACCATCCATCCCGAAGAAATGGATAAGCCCCCACACAGGTGCATGCAGACTAACACATAGTCTGTGATATATTTTATGACACAACACACTCCTTAGCAACCAAATCTGTGCACCAACGTAACAACGTAACATTGTAGTTGCAGCTTTATCTCGAAAAGTCTAGGACCCGGTTCAAATCCCTTGGTGCTCCCCACCGTGATACGGCTGGCATTTTGCTAAAGGTTTCGTGTAACCCTCACTTGTGTCTGATGGGATGACAATACTACTCCTCCTTTTAATGATGACGATGACGACGATGATTACGCCGACGATGATGACGCCGATGATGATGATGATGATGATGGTGCTATGACGACGACGATTACGGTGACGAAGACGACGATGCTGCTGCTGCCGATGATGATGATGATAATGACGACTACGATAGCGACGAAGCCGACGATCCTGCTGCTGCTGCTGCTGATGATGATGATGATGACGATCTCGAGAAAGTGATATATCGAGACAACAGAGCTCAAGTTCACGAAACAAATTACGGAATTACTAAAACCCTGCGATAACTGTGATGAGCTGTTCGCATTGATTCAAATATATCTCAATTAATTCTTCCAATTTCAATCTATTTACCAATTTCTTTGTGTTTGTTTTAATTCACTAAACAACGACTCAATTAAACGTTTTTCTGACTTGATAAATATTTCACCGAGAAAGTAATAATTGAAAATTGAATTTTTTGGGTGCGTAGGATTTAATGTAAATAGACTGTGGCTCCCAAGCAAACATGTGACACCTACATTCTTTTAAGTTTGAGAAATGGCAGTATGAATCAGAATTCGTGTAAACTGCACATCAATTCGAACACTCAAACAGAGGGACATAAAAGAAGACTGGCTAAGTAGCGTTCTCTAGGGCATAAACACACTTCCGAGTGCCTCATGGCGTTTTCATTAATCACTCCATTCACCAACACGGGAGAGACGTGTTTATCATGGTTTAGATGCAAATCCTATAATTTTACCGTTGACTTTTGACGATGCATGGCAGCACCAGAGACGAATCAGTCTCGATAATCTCAATACACAGATTCCATTTTGCGTAAGAGGTAAAACAGCGGTAAGAATTTAATGAATGGATCACTGAAAATCAGCGATGACACCAGTTGTTTGTGAAAACTGCCACCATGCCCTGCCTGCCGGTAACACCCTCCACCCACACAATGTAAAGCACAATGTAAGTGTTTGTTTGTTTGCTAAGAATTAATCAGTTGATTCAGTTTTCAGTAATCCGAATTTATTGGGTATTCTAATATTTATTAATTTTACCTGGTCCAGGATTTCAATCCCGTACATAGATACCAACACGATGTACTGGAGGCTAACGTATATCTTGACATGGGCACGGTTATCTGAGACACCGAAGTTCATGGTACATGTGCTTCTTGGCACATTTCTATAGCTAAGTCCATTTAAGATGCGCCAACATGTCACTCACTTGTATACTCATGACGCTACGTTGTTATCGCCACGCCCAGTGGGCCTGTGTGCACTCCATTTCAATTCTCAACACCCTGGGGAGTATACAACCCAAGGCGCTACAAGGGTCACAGTCATATTACCATCTTGTCCTATGTGACGGTAGTAGTAGTGGTAGAAGGAGTACTTGAAGAAGCAATGTAAGTAGTAGTAGAAGTAGTGGTAGTAGTAGAAGTAGTAGTGTAGAAGTAGTGGTAGCATCAGTAGTAGCAGTAGAAGCGGTAGCAGTAGCAGAAGCAATAGTAGTAGCATCAGTAGTAACAGAAATAGTTACAGTTGTAGAAGTAGTATAGGAGTAGTAGTACTAGTAGTGGTAGTAGTAGTAGTAGTAGTAGTAGTAGTAACAGCAGTGGTAGCGGTAGTAGAAGTAGCAATAGTAGAAGCAGCAGTAGCGGTGGTAGTAGCAGTAGCAATAGTAGTAGCATCTGAAGTAACAGAAGTAGTAACATTTGTAGAAGTAGTACCAGTAGTCGTAGTACTAGTAGTAGCAGAGGTAGCTGTGGCAGTAGTATAGGATGTTGATCAGTGCTACACATATAGTGTCTGTTTAGTATTCCGAGCCTGCGCGGCTGATGAAGACATATACCGTCCATGTACGTGTTAATGAACCATATATTTGCATCTCTGAGGTACGAACGATTGTTAAATGATATGGAAGCTCATGGCGTTAAACATTCACATACATAGTGGGAATGCGTGGCTATCCGCTTTAGACCTCAGTTCGATTTTCCACATGGGTACAATGTGTGCCCATTCCTGGTGGCCTCCACCATGTTCAAGTTAAAAGTGGCGTAAAACAATATTCACTCACTCATTTACATTTACGACCGCATCCGTAGTTTAGTAGATGGAGTGTCTGCCCGGAGAGCGGAGGCTCCTTGGTTCGATACCTGGCCACGTCATACCTAAAGACGCCAAAATATGGTACCCTGTCTGGCAATGAGGGGCAAAACAAGGACCGGTCAGATCGGAGTCAGTATACTGTGTCTGATTGGGTTATTTGTGTTAAACTGTGGCATGGTATCTCGTGAGCTAGTATTGGGCTAACTGGCATTACAAGCAGCCATATACACATACACACACGCGTGCATTCACGTCGCTGTATATAAGCACATTAAACGTAGTGGGGTAGCCTAGTGGTTAAAGCGTTCGCTCGTCACACCGAAGACCCGGGTTCGATTCCCTACATGGGTACAATGTGTGAAGCCCATTTCGGGTATCCCCGCCGAGGTATTGCAGGAATGTTGTTAAAAGCGGCGTAAAACCATACTCACTCACTCCCATGACAAATACACGCGCACTAAGGGTAAATGTGTAGAATTTACGGCATATCTAAATATTCGGTTCATGTTTACAAAATAAAGGGACAAAACAGTTTCCATAACCAAGCGTCCATTGTACGATTCCAACTAAATCATAAGCATGTGTTTATGTGTCACTCTCAAACAACAACCCGCCATATCTTGAGACGGGTTTACAGCCTCCCTGTATTACCATAGTCTATGTCATGTAAGGTATCACAGCAATCTATCATTCCCTCTTTGTTGTTCATGGCTCTGGATTCACAGTACCTGTACACAAACCAAAACAACCGTTATCTTACGTATGTTAAGACCACACGAACAGGGAACCGTCAGATCAAACCACCTGTTTCACGTCCTGGCGTCAAGGTGATTGACAGATGACCTTTGGGGTGGTCTATTTCTCACACTTGATAACATAATGCCCCCGGGGCTTTGAGAGAGTCCTTCAGACTGGAAACCTATATTACTATCTCTGTTGGTGTTACAACTACTACAACTACTTCTACCTCTCCGTCTACGTCACCATCCAGAAACCTAGATTCAAGAGTCACCTTTGACAAACCATTACTCAAAACGACAATTTCTTGGGGTTAATAGACAACAAGGTAATGACGCATCGGTCATTGACGTGGTATATGTACCGTTATGTCTTCAAGGTAAACATTCGACCTTGCTGTTTTGGTTTGGTCATTTGATACACAGAACGTAGAACATATACATCAACGCCCATTGTCTACCTACTGTGACAATAATTGATCGAGTAGCTCACATTCGGAGCACCATGTCCTACACTTCATGAACTCAAAAATGCAAACTTCGCATCAATATGCCAATAACACTGACAGATGACATCTCGGCTCGATTCTTAACATCCACAGTTATTTTTTGTGAGAAGTGCAGATATATATCGGCTCGATTCTAACATCCACAGTTTTGTGTGAGCAGTGCAGATATATATCGGCTCAATTCTAACATCCACAGTTTTTTGTGAGCAAAGTAGATATATATCGGCTCGATGCTAATATACACAGTTTTGTGTGAGCAGTGCACACATATATCGGCTCCATTTTAACATCCACTATTTTGGGTGAGCAGTGCAGATATATATCGGCTCAATTCTTAACATCCACAGTTTTTTGTGAGCAAAGTAGATATATATCGGCTCGATGCTAATATACACAGTTTTGTGTGAGCAGTGCATATATATATCGGCTCCATTTTAACATCCACAGTTTTGTGTGAGCAGTGCAGATATATATCGGCTCAATTCTTAACATCCACAGTTTTTTGTGAGCAAAGTAGATATATATCGGCTCGATGCTAATATACACAGTTTTGTGTGAGCAGTGCACACATATATCGGCTCCATTTTAACATCCACAGTTTTGTGTGAGCAGTGCAGATATATATCGGCTCAATTCTAACATCCACAGTTTTTTGTGAGCAAAGTAGATATATATCGGCTCGATGCTAATATACACAGTTTTGTGTGAGCAGTGCATATATATATCGGCTCCATTTTAACATCCACAGTTTTGTGTGAGCAGTGCAGATATATATCGGCTCAATTCTTAACAACCACATTTCATCGTTGTGTTTTGTTTTAAATTTTATATACAGGGCCTCTTAGGTCCTTTAAACTCGAAGATCTTCTTGTCTGAAAGTCCATCCTTACTCTCGAAAGAACCCGAGTGAGCTGAAATGCGCATGACTCCAACAGAGCAGGGATGCTGGTTGTATTGTTATAATTTCAACCCCACATCACTGTGATGTTTATAACTTGAGACTGTGTGAGACTTCCACATAACCGTTGTAGCATGTACAATTATCAACAGTATCATCCTAGATATAGCCCTATATCACAAAGGTAACGCGTGAACTAGCCAGCAAAGCGTAACTGATCAAACCGCCTTGAGTATCTGTCCTCTGTGTGTGTAGGGGGGAAGGGGGGTGTCACCGAACCACAAACATGTGCTGGGTTCGTTTCATTGTCACTGGTGGAAGCCGGGTGGCCCTGTTGTCTAAGACACCGTAATTCACTGTATCGAGTTGCCCCTCTGTCCTATGAATCCTATGAATCCTATGAATCCCTGCTTCTCCCTTACTGAGAGTCTTGGTTTGGTCGCATCACACCAGTGTGGGTTTCTCTGAAGTGTAAACGTCAAAGACCTGCGTCACTTCCAGCTTTCCTCCCACATTAAGCTGAAACTCCGTGACATGGCTGACATACTGTACAAAGCGGCATTAAACTACATGTGAGTTTGAATAATTATCAAATCAAGGATGATCATGATCAAACTGGGTAACTTCTTCTGAAACAAAGCTATACTGTTAGCTGTCAATGCTTTGTTCAACAAGATGGACATCCCCTGGCAACAACCTGGTGCAAAAACAATTACAGGTCCATCACACTGACAACAAACAATGCCGGTAGGATGAAGCCATCCCGCCGATGACAGTGATAGCCTCCCTGCTCTGCTCTCGAGCCTGTACACGATCCTCCTGTTCTAAAGACCTTCAAACCACCAGAGCCTTATAAAGAGAAGATCAAGAGCGCCACTTGAAGGTTCAGATATTTCAAACAGCAGAGCGGACGCGCCTGGGGAAAGATGAGGATGAGAGGAGATGCGCGGGCAGCCGGAAGCA